GCAGTGCTCCAGAGACAGGGACTGTGAGAGGAACATGAAGTGTTGCTACACGGGTTCTTGGGCACCTGTGTTACGACCCACGTGGAGGTAACATGTCCCCCTGGAATATATGTGGATGTTGTTTTTAAATTATTGCTTGTGTTTTGTCAGTAAATTAGAGTGATCAAATCCTACGATATCCTTGCCTCACCTCTCTGTATAAATCATTTTTTTCTTGTTACTAAGACATTTTTTTAGATATATTTTAGTGCTTTCTTAATGAACGTCTTCTTCTTAATTTCATAAGTGTCCACAGACGTGCCGAAACCCAAACCAGGATCGTGTCCTAAACCATACCGCTTTGACAAGTGTATCCAGAAATGCGACACTGACCGAGACTGTGAGGGGAAACTGAAATGCTGCTTCAACGGCTGTGGCTTCGAGTGTATGGACCCCTGTACATGGCAACCATTGAAATATGAGAGGACAGTGATCATCACAAAGAATCCAACTTTCTGTTGTGTTTATTTGTTCAATAAAGATGACAAACCTCTCTCTTGTTGTGCTAGTTTGAACAGTTTCATATTTTAATCATTGAACTCTTTAAAGTTATCCTTTGTAATTATATTGGCTGACCTGCTGTATTCTCACATAACACCATTAGATGTTATTTACTTTAACCCAGTCTCATAGTGTGAGAGCTTGACAGAAAACATGAAGACCAGAAAGCACAACCTGAACAAAGGCCAGGTGAGGGGAGGGGGAACAGGTTTCAAAACTGACATCTACTGATAAAAAATAAAAATAATAATAAATAAACTTACAAATGGCAGCTTTAATGTGGTTAGTCAGCTGGAGTTAGTTTTCAGGGTTTAATACCACAGTAATACAAAACTATTTGTCTCCAAAAACAAACAAAACAAACAAACAAAACAAAAAAATTCAGCTGTTTTACAATATTATTTCTCTAAAAATGCAATAAAAAAATTGGAATCCGTCCATGATTGTAAGTGATATATTTTCTTAAATTATTTCCTATAAAAAATACTATGTGATCCAATTATATTTATGAGATGTTTTATTGAGCCCAGGACCAGAGTGCACTCTTATGCATCTCTACCCCAGCCCCCCTCCCTCACGATCGTGGAAATCATGATAAATACAACAAAAGTGTCCGTTTATTTCAGTAAGTTTATGACTTAAATCTTTCCTCCCCATCCTCTCTTCCTTTGTCTCCTCCTCTTCTTCACACAGACACTCCAAATAATTTCCCTTGTTAATTTTTTATTTTTTATTTGCCTTCTGTTTTTCATTTTTATTTTTCACTTGTGAAAAGTTAAAATTGATGCAAGAAATTTCACTCAACTTAAAATAAAAAAGCACCTTTGGTTACTACTACTACTACTACTACTACTACTACTACTACTACTACTACTACTACTACTACTACTGCTGCCTCTTTTTAATTTTATGATTATTTATGTTTTGATGTGTTTTTATTTTGATTTTAATGTATTTTTTATTCTTTAAAGCACTTTGAATTACTTTCTGTACGAATTGTGCTATACAAATAAACTCGCCTTGCCTCACTATTACTATTACTACTACTACTACTACTACTACTACTACTACTTACTACTACTACTACTACAATTATTTCTAATATTCATCTTTAGTTCATTTATGACCTCACATGTTTCAGTTTCTTTATGGGGGTCGGGTCTTCTCCAGTTTGACACATTTCTACTGAAAATGCACAATTTACATGAACCTTAACAGGAGAGATGCATTGTACCAGGTTGTAGCACGAGCCTTAAATTAGAATAATTTAGCCTTAAACTGGAACAATTTAAGGCTAAACATTGATTTATTTACTGAATGAAATGTATGATTGGTATGAAAACAAATCCACCCAAACTTGTTAAAAGTAGCCCAGATATTATCTGCCCGCCTAAGGCTTTCCCTCCCCACCTGACGATGTCAAAAGAAGCTCAATTAGGCAGCCACCCGCCCAATCTGGTAACACTGTCAGTGGATCAGGTTGGGCTGGTTGTTGGGGCTGGGGGTGAGTGGTGGAACAAGTTGTGCTGCTGCGTAAACTTTGTGTTTGGCTGTGTGTTTGTGCTTAGATATAGTTCAGCCAATAGTGATCAAAATGTCTGTTTCTGGCATTCCTTATAATACTATAAGAGCTCTTCTTTGGTCAGGACCAAGGAGAGCGATCGCAGATAAGTCCATTCTATGCACCGAAAGTTTTTACAATGCAACAATGTCAACAAATCTTTCCTCCCCATCCTCTCTTCCTTTGTCTCCTCCTCTTCTTCACACAGACACTCCAAATAATTTCCCTTGTTAATTTTTTATTTTTTTTAATTTGCCTTCTGTTTTTCATTTTATTTTTCACTTGTGACAAGTTAAAATTGATGCAAGAAATTTCACTCAACTTAAAATAAAAAAGCACCTTTGGTTACTACTACTACTACTACTACTACTACTACTACTACTACTACTACTACTACTACTACTGCCTCTTTTTTATTTTATGATGATTATTTATGTTTTGATTTGTTTTTATTGTGATTTTAATGTATTTTTTATTCTGTAAAGCACTTTGAATTACTTTCTGTACGACGTGTGCTATACAAATAAACTCGCCTTGCCTCACTATTACTACACTGAAACAACGGTCCGAGAGGGGTTGCTCAAATTGCAAAAACAAATTTGACAACAATAACATCACTTTTTTACGTTTCTCTGTCAAGCATGTTTAAATCTTACAAACATCGCTTGATTGTGGCCGATGTGAGACCTGCATGTTTTAATCAGGTTGAGGAAACATGACTTTATTATAATTTCTGGTGAGGCTCCTTCCTCTGGAATTCTCCTCCCCAAAACTTTTGGAGGGAAAATTCAAATGTAACAGGACACAGGACAGTTCAGGAGCAGAGACACACAGTGTGGAGCAGGAGGATTATGGAAGCTGATCTGGAGGTAAGACTTTTCAAAGATTTTATTATGTGCTTCTCCGGCCTAGAATGTCGTCATTGTTAAAACATGTTTGTGTTGTTTTATTTGAAATTAGAGTTAATGTGAGGACAGCTTGAAACAAATTGTTTTTGACTGTCCATCTACAAGAGTGTGACAGTTGTACTCAGATTTGAATGTGTTTGTTCCAGAGTCGTCTACAAACACAGAGTGACGTCCAGGTTCTGCTGGAGCTGTGGGGAAGTTCATGAATGTTATAGTTGATGTTTCAGAAAAAAGGAAGATGTTTGAGAACCAACAAAACACAAAACACAGATGAACAAAGAAACAAATGAAACAAACCAACTAAAATTATTTTTATTTTTTTCAAAATGAACTTCCTATTGAAACTGTTATCGTACTTGTACAAGGTGATGTGGCATTAGGAGACTTTATACCAGATGCCCTCCCTGTTACTGTGTTTAGAGGAAGAAAAGCAGCACATGGTGAGTTTTGTTTCTGCAGATACACTTCTAATGTTCTTGTGATTCTGTTCTGGTCCATTATTGTAGTAATAATTGCTATAAGTGTATTTAAACATGTACAACAGAGTAGATGATCAGAATGTGATCATCATGTGTTATTCTGTGTCCACAGAGACCAGAGCTTCTTCACTGGAATAAATCTTCACACTGTCCAGCTCCAAACTGTGTGTCTCTGTCCCTGTGCTCTTTATGTTTGATTCTGTTTAAGACAAAACAGAACTGTGGAAAACTAAAGACTGTTTTTGTATTCTTTTACAGAATTAGATCAATTAAATTAAATTATACAAACTTATACATTTCATGATAAGGTACCATAAGATAAATATGCATATTCAGCAGGATTTGTTCAAATTTCATCAACATGAAAAAGTGATGTTCATGTTCCGAGAAAAATATGTGTAGAGGGTTCGAAAAAAGTTTCAAAGCCTAAACATAATTTTATTGCGTGCAACCGCTGTCCATAACTTTTTTACGCAAATCCAGCAACTTTTTTTTTTTCAGTGTACTACTACTACTACTACTACTACTACTACTACTACTACTACTACTACTACTACTACTACTACTACAATTATTTCTAATATTCATCTTTAGTTCATTTATGACCTCACACGTTTCAGTTTCTTTATGGGGGTCGGGTCTTCTCCAGTTTGACACATTTCTACTGAAAATGCACAATTTACATGAACCTTAACAGGAGAGATGCATTGTACCAGGTTGTAGCACGAGCCTTAAATTGGAATAATTTAGCCTTAAACTGGAACAATTTAAGGCTAAACATTGATTTATTTACTGAATGAAATGTATGATTGGTATGAAAACAAATCCACCCAAACTTGTTATAAGTTGCCCAGATATTATCTGCCCGCCTAAGGCTTTCCCTCCCCACCTGACGATGTCAAAAGAAGCTCAATTAGGCAGCCACCCGCCCAATCTGGTAACACTGTCAGTGGATCAGGTTGGGCTGGTTGTTGGGGCTGGGGGTGAGTGGTGGAACAAGTTGTGCTGCTGCGTAAACTTTGTGTTTGGCTGTGTGTTGTGCTTAGATATAGTTCAGCCAATAGTGATCAAAATGTCTGTTTCTGGCATTCCTTATAATACTATAAGAGCTCTTCTTTGGTCAGGACCAAGGAGAGCGATCGCAGATAAGTCCATTCTATGCACCGAAAGTTTTTACAATGCAACAAAAATATTTAAATGAGCATGAAACTATTCAAATCTCTATAATGCACAAATAATATAACAGTATATTAGTCTGTCATTTTATTAGGATAAACAGAGATTTGATGATGTTTTTCATTTAAGGCTCACCCACAACTGATCTGGAACATCCACAACTGGAATCCTAATGATGTCGTGCCTGATCCACACCCAAAGAAGTCCTGGTATGCTCATGTTTAATGCAGGGCGGGCACTATGACGTAATATGAGCTCAGTGCTGAGGCTGTATTTTAGGTGGATAAATAGAAGCTCGTACCTCAGTTGAATGTGTCTGTGTCTGTGGTGAACATCATGAAGTTCTCTGTCCTCTGCCTCCTGACTGTGGCCTTTGTGCCTTTGCTCTCTGCTCTGAAAGGTCAGTCACTTTGAATATAATTTTTAACGGAAAATGTAGTATGTCTATGTTGTATAGTCACAGTTCTATGACCTCGCATAGCTTCATATGGTGTAATTTTCCCACAATGTCAACTGATTGTATCAACTTATTTGTTTTGGTAACATTTACTGCATCACAAATGCATTGAACTGGAACATTTGAATATATATATATATATATATATATATATATATATATATATATATATATATATATATATATATATATATATATATATATATATATATTTTTTTTTTTTTTTTTTTTCTCTCTCATTAAAATTGTGTTTCTTGTGATTTCAGATGAACATTGTCCAGAGAGCGTTTTGAATGGTCCTCTCTTTCCTTGCCAGGAGCAGTGCTCCAGAGACAGGGACTGTGAGAGGAACATGAAGTGTTGCTACACGGGTTCTTGGGCACCTGTGTTACGACCCACGTGGAGGTAACATGTCCCCCTGGAATATATGTGGATGTTGTTTTTAAATTATTGCTTGTGTTTTGTCAGTAAATTAGAGTGATCAAATCCTACGATATCCTTGCCTCACCTCTCTGTATAAATCATTTTTTTCTTGTTACTAAGAATATTTTTTAGATATATTTTAGTGCTTTCTTAATGAACGTCTTCTTCTTAATTTCATAAGTGTCCACAGACGTGCCGAAACCCAAACCAGGATCGTGTCCTAAACCATACCGCTTTGACAAGTGTATCCAGAAATGCGACACTGACCGAGACTGTGAGGGGAAACTGAAATGCTGCTTCAACGGCTGTGGCTTCGAGTGTATGGACCCTGTACATGGCAACCATTGAAATATGAGAGGACAGTGATCATCACAAAGAATCCAACTTTCTGTTGTGTTTATTTGTTCAATAAAGATGACAAACCTCTCTCTTGTTGTGCTAGTTTGAACAGTTTCATTTTTTAATCATTTAACTCTTTAAAGTTATCCTTTGTAATTATATTGGCTGACCTGCTGTATTCTCACATAACACCATTAGATGTTATTTACTTTAACCCAGTCTCATAGTGTGAGAGCTTGACAGAAAACATGAAGACCAGAAAGCACAACCTGAACAAAGGCCAGGTGAGGGGAGGGGGAACAGGTTTCAAAACTGACATCTACTGATAAAAAAATAAAAATAATAATAAATAAACTTACAAATGGCAGCTTTAATGTGGTTAGTCAGCTGGAGTTAGTTTTCAGGGTTTAATACCACAGTAATACAAAACTATTTGTCTCCAAAAACAAACAAAACAAACAAACAAAACAAAAAAATTCTGCTGTTTTACAATATTATTTCTCTAAAAATGCAATAAAAAAATTGGAATCCGTCCATGATTGTAAGTGATATATTTTCTTAAATTATTTCCTATAAAAAATACTATGTGATCCAATTATATTTATGAGATGTTTTATTGAGCCCAGGACCAGAGTGCACTCTTATGCATCTCTACCCCAGCCCCCCTCCCTCACGATCGTGGAAATCATGATAAATACAACAAAAGTGTCCGTTTATTTCAGTAAGTTTATGACTTAAATCTTTCCTCCCCATCCTCTCTTCCTTTGTCTCCTCCTCTTCTTCACACAGACACTCCAAATAATTTCCCTTGTTAATTTTTTATTTTTTTTTTGCCTTCTGTTTTTCATTTTATTTTTCACTTGTGAAAAGTTAAAATTGATGCAAGAAATTTCACTCAACTTAAAATTAAAAAAGCACCTTTGGTTACTACTACTACTACTACTACTACTACTACTACTACTACTACTACTTACTACTACTACTACTACTACTACGACTGCTGCCTCTTTTTAATTTTATGATGATTATTTATGTTTTGATGTGTTTTTATTTTGATTTTAATGTATTTTTTATTCTTTAAAGCACTTTGAATTACTTTCTGTACGACGTGTGCTATACAAATAAACTCGCCTTGCCTCACTATTACTATTACTACTAAAACTACTACTACAGTTATTTCCAATATTCATCTTTAGTTCATTTATGACCTCACATGTTTCAGTTTCTTTATGGGGGTCGGGTCTTCTCCAGTTTGACACATTTCTACTGAAAATGCACAATTTACATGAACCTTAACAGGAGAGATGCATTGTACCAGGTTGTAGCACGAGCCTTAAATTGGAATAATTTAGCCTTAAACTGGAACAATTTAAGGCTAAACATTGATTTATTTACTGAATGAAATGTATGATTGGTATGAAAACAAATCCACCCAAACTTGTTAAAAGTAGCCCAGATATTATCTGCCCGCCTAAGGCTTTCCCTCCCCACCTGACGATGTCAAAAGAAGCTCAATTAGGCAGCCACCCGCCCAATCTGGTAACACTGTCAGTGGATCAGGTTGGGCTGGTTGTTGGGGCTGGGGTGTGAGTGGTGGAACAAGTTGTGCTGCTGCGTAAACTTTGTGTTTGGCTGTGTGTTGTGCTTAGATATAGTTCAGCCAATAGTGATCAAAATGTCTGTTTCTGGCATTCCTTATAATACTATAAGAGCTCTTCTTTGGTCAGGACCAAGGAGAGCGATCGCAGATAAGTCCATTCTATGCACCGAAAGTTTTTACAATGCAACAAAAATATTTAAATGAGCATGAAACTATTCAAATCTCTATAATGCACAAATAATATAACAGTATATTAGTCTGTCATTTTATTAGGATAAACAGAGATTTGATGATGTTTTTCATTTAAGGCTCACCCACAACTGATCTGGAACATCCACAACTGGAATCCTAATGATGTCGTGCCTGATCCACACCCAAAGAAGTCCTGGTATGCTCATGTTTAATGCAGGGCGGGCACTATGACGTAATATGAGCTCAGTGCTGAGGCTGTATTTTAGGTGGATAAATAGAAGCTCGTACCTCAGTTGAATGTGTCTGTGTCTGTGGTGAACATCATGAAGTTCTCTGTCCTCTGCCTCCTGACTGTGGCCTTTGTGCCTTTGCTCTCTGCTCTGAAAGGTCAGTCACTTTGAATATAATTTTAAATGGAAAATGTAGTATGTCTATGTTGTATAGTCACAGTTCTATGACCTCGCATAGCTTCATATGGTGTAATTTTCCCACAATGTCAACTGATTGTATCAACTTATTTGTTTTGGTAACATTTACTACATCACAAATGCATTGAACTGGAACATTTGAATATATATATATATATATATATATATATATATATATATATATATATATATATATATATATATATATATATATATATATATATTTTTTTTTTTCTTTTTTTTTTTTTTTTTCTCTCTCATTAAAATTGTGTTTCTTGTGATTTCAGATGAACATTGTCCAGAGAGCGTTTTGAATGGTCCTCTCTTTCCTTGCCAGGAGCAGTGCTCCAGAGACAGGGACTGTGAAGAGGAACATGAAGTGTTGCTACACGGGCTGTGGGCACCTGTGTTACGACCCACGTGGAGGTAACATGTCCCCCTGGAATATATGTGGATGTTGTTTTTAAATTATTGCTTGTGTTTTGTCAGTAAATTAGAGTGATCAAATCCTACGATATCCTTGCCTCACCTCTCTGTATAAATCATTTTTTTCTTGTTACTAAGACATTTTTTTAGATATATTTTAGTGCTTTCTTAATGAACGTCTTCTTCTTAATTTCATAAGTGTCCACAGACGTGCCGAAACCCAAACCAGGATCGTGTCCTAAACCATACCGCTTTGACAAGTGTATCCAGAAATGCGACACTGACCGAGACTGTGAGGGGAAACTGAAATGCTGCTTCAACGGCTGTGGCTTCGAGTGTATGGACCCTGTACATGGCAACCATTGAAATATGAGAGGACAGTGATCATCACAAAGAATCCAACTTTCTGTTGTGTTTATTTGTTCAATAAAGATGACAAACCTCTCTCTTGTTGTGCTAGTTTGAACAGTTTCATATTTTAATCATTTAACTCTTTAAAGTTATCCTTTGTAATTATATTGGCTGACCTGCTGTATTCTCACATAACACCATTAGATGTTATTTACTTTAACCCAGTCTCATAGTGTGAGAGCTTGACAGAAAACATGAAGACCAGAAAGCACAACCTGAACAAAGGCCAGGTGAGGGGAGGGGGAACAGGTTTCAAAACTGACATCTACTGATAAAAAAATAAAAAATAATAATAAATAAACTTACAAATGGCAGCTTTAATGTGGTTAGTCAGCTGGAGTTAGTTTTCAGGGTTTAATACCACAGTAATACAAAACTATTTGTCTCCAAAAACAAACAAAACAAACAAACAAAACAAAAAAATTCTGCTGTTTTACAATATTATTTCTCTAAAAATGCAATAAAAAAATTGGAATCCGTCCATGATTGTAAGTGATATATTTTCTTAAATTATTTCCTATAAAAAATACTATGTGATCCAATTATATTTATGAGATGTTTTATTGAGCCCAGGACCAGAGTGCACTCTTATGCATCTCTACCCCAGCCCCCCTCCCTCACGATCGTGGAAATCATGATAAATACAACAAAAGTGTCCGTTTAGTTTCAGTAAGTTTATGACTTAAATCTTTCCTCCCCATCCTCTCTTCCTTTGTCTCCTCCTCTTCTTCACACAGACACTCCAAATAATTTCCCTTGTTAATTTTTTATTTTTTTATTTGCCTTCTGATTTTTCATTTTATTTTTCACTTGTGAAAAGTTAAAATTGATGCAAGAAATTTCACTCAACTTAAAATAAAAAAGCACCTTTGGTTACTACTACTACTACTACTATTACTACTACTACTGCTACTACTACTACTACGACTGCTGCCTCTTTTTAATTTTATGATGATTATTTATGTTTTGATGTGTTTTTATTTTGATTTTAATGTATTTTTTATTCTTTAAAGCACTTTGAATTACTTTCTGTACGACGTGTGCTATACAAATAAACTCGCCTTGCCTCACTATTACTATTACTACTAAAACTACTACTACAGTTATTTCCAATATTCATCTTTAGTTCATTTATGACCTCACATGTTTCAGTTTCTTTATGGGGGGTCGGGTCTTCTCCAGTTTGACACATTTCTACTGAAAATGCACAAATTTACATGAACCTTAACAGGAGAGATGCATTGTACCAGGTTGTAGCACGAGCCTTAAATTAGAATAATTTAGCCTTAAACTGGAACAATTTAAGGCTAAACATTGATTTATTTACTGAATGAAATGTATGATTGGTATGAAAACAAATCCACCCAAACTTGTTAAAAGTAGCCCAGATATTATCTGCCCGCCTAAGGCTTTCCCTCCCCACCTGACGATGTCAAAAGAAGCTCAATTAGGCAGCCACCCGCCCAATCTGGTAACACTGTCAGTGGATCAGGTTGGGCTGGTTGTTGGGGCTGGGGGTGAGTGGTGGAACAAGTTGTGCTGCTGCGTAAACTTTGTGTTTGGCTGTGTGTTGTGCTTAGATATAGTTCAGCCAATAGTGATCAAAATGTCTGTTTCTGGCATTCCTTATAATACTATAAGAGCTCTTCTTTGGTCAGGACCAAGGAGAGCGATCGCAGATAAGTCCATTCTATGCACCGAAAGTTTTTACAATGCAACAAAAATATTTAAATGAGCATGAAACTATTCAAATCTCTATAATGCACAAATAATATAACAGTATATTAGTCTGTCATTTTATTAGGATAAACAGAGATTTGATGATGTTTTTCATTTAAGGCTCACCCACAACTGATCTGGAACATCCACAACTGGAATCCTAATGATGTCGTGCCTGATCCACACCCAAAGAAGTCCTGGTATGCTCATGTTTAATGCAGGGTGGGCACTATGACGTAATATGAGCTCAGTGCTGAGGCTGTATTTTAGGTGGATAAATAGAAGCTCGTACCTCAGTTGAATGTGTCTGTGTCTGTGGTGAACATCATGAAGTTCTCTGTCCTCTGCCTCCTGACTGTGGCCTTTGTGCCTTTGCTCTCTGCTCTGAAAGGTCAGTCACTTTGAATATATCTATCTATATATATATATATATACTATATCTATATCTATATTCTATCTATCTATCTATCTATATATATATATATATATATATATATATATATATATATATATATATATATATATATAGGGCCGGGGACGTTAATGCGTTAACATTGCGTTTACTAATTAAGTCATTAACACCGACAATTATTTTAACGCTGTTAACGCAGTTTTTATTATTATTTATTTATTTATTTTATTGTAAACGTCTGTTTCTCACTGGCTTTTATTTTGAAAAAGTCCACCGCGAGCATTTCTTTAAGTTTGACATCTTTTCATGACACTTTTTTCACTTTTTTCTGACCACGTGAGATGCAACGTGCCCGAGCCTCTGCGAGCCGCGGCTCCGACTCCTGTCGCGGGCTCTGGTCGCGGGTTCAGCCGCCGGCTCTGAGCTGAGCTTATTTCTTTAGTTCAGTGCTGGAGGAACGGATTTACCCAGATACCATTGGAAGAAAAAATGTGATTGGTCCATTTCCATTCCATTATATTAACCCTTTGTTTCCTAAGAAATATCAGTCCAAGTTTATAACACTGATCTGGAAATTATTACTAGTGTAGTGTTCATTACTCACAGCATAAAAAATATTCAATAAATATATTAGTAATACAAACATTCAATATTTTTTTCTTGAGTCTTCCCTGAACACCTTGAAGGCTCTGAGGTTCCCCTGTGAAAGAAATGCTGTTTGCACAACAAATGTTTGGCTCTTTCATTTACATTTCCAATAAAAGAGCGCTATACTCGACTTTTTAATTCATTAATTGGTTTTGCGTATAACATGTGATTAATTCAATTTTTAAATTTTTGCCCAGCCCTAATATATATATATATATATATATATATATATATATATATATATATATATATATATATATATATATATATATATATATATATATATATATTTATTTTTTTTTTTTTTTTCCATTAAAATTGTGTTTCTTGTGACTTCAGACAAAATTGAAAGTTGTCCAGTGAGCGTTTTGAATGGTCCTCTCGTTCCTTGCCAGAAGCAGTGCTCCACAAACAGGGACTGTGAGAGGAACATGAAGTGTTGCTCCACGGGCTGTGGGCACCTGTGTTACAAGCCACGTGGAGTAACATGTCCCCCTGGAATATATGTGGATGTTGTTTTTAAATTATTGCTTGTGTTTTGTCAGTAAATTAGAGTGATCAAATCCTACGATATCCTTGCCTCATGTTTTAGTGCTTTCTTAATGAACGTCTTCTTCTTAATTTCATAAGTGTACACAGACGTGCCTAAACCCAAACCAGGATCGTGTCCTAAAGCACACCGCTTTAGGATCTGTGTCGAGAAATGCGACTCTGACCGAGACTGTGGGAGTAATCTGAAATGCTGCGAGAACGGCTGTGGGAGAACCTGTGAGAAGCCAGT